AATTTTAGTATATTATCGGATCCTTCATTTTCGTCACAGGCTAGCTACGAGCCTTGTAGTGGTCTGCCATGGGTGCATTTGCAATGGGAATATTGATTTTGAGCGTTTTAGTTGATGGATTCAAAACATAGGCGATTTCTAAACAAACAAAAGGAAAGCTGAAATTCATTTTGTCAGATCTTGCCGAAGCCCCCGAATATTATCTAGCTTATTCAATTAATTGCTTTTATGATTTTCAAATATTCACTGTTGTAGATGTAAAATATATGTTTTAAACTTGTCGCATAACCTTTAGATTTTATATATAAATTATTATTATATATTCAGTTATAATATCACAAGAGCATAAAAAATATTCGATTATACTTCCGAGTCACGAGACGTATTCTGCGAAACACCACGACAGCGTAGCTGGAGTGGTGTTTAAAGGATATACGTCGAGTGAGGAGGTTAGTATAATCGAATATTTTCGTTTGCTCGAGTGGTATTCGATACGATTATATAATTCAGAGCTTGAACCGAAGCGTTCCATTTTTTTTGACGTTTATTGACAAATGTTAAAACTATCGTTACCATGACATAGTTCACATTGTTGGAGGAGGCGAAACACCAAAACGGTTATACCACGTCGTCAAGAGTATAATCGCTTATCAATACATAGTAACTACGTAAAATTTGTAATTGCTATTGGCTAAATTTCTAATGAATTATATAATCAGTTATAATATCACAAGAGCATAGAAAATATTCGATTATACTTCCGAGTCACGAGACGTATTCTGCGAAACACCACGACAGCGTAGCTGGAGTGGTGTTTTAAGGATATACGTCGAGTGAGGAGGTTAGTATAATCGAATATTTTCGTTTGCTCGAGTGGTATTCGATACGATTATATAATTCAGAGCTTGAACCGAAGCGTTCCATTTTTTTTTTTACGTTTATTGACAAATGTTAAAACTATCGTTACCATGACATAGTTCACATTGTTGGAGGAGGCGAAACACCAAAACGGTTATACCACGTCGTCAAGAGTATAATCGCTTATCAATACATAGTAACTACGTAAAATTTGTAATTGCTATTGGCTAAATTTCTAATGAATTATATAATCAGTTATAATATCACAAGAGCATAGAAAATATTCGATTATACTTCCGAGTCACGAGACGTATTCTGCGAAACACCACGACAGCGTAGCTGGAGTGGTGTTTTAAGGATATACGTCGAGTGAGGAGGTTAGTATAATCGAATATTTTCGTTTGCTCGAGTGGTATTCGATACGATTATATAATTCAGAGCTTGAACCGAAGCGTTCCATTTTTTTTTTTCGTTTATTGACAAATGTTAAAACTATCGTTACCATGACATAGTTCACATTGTTGGAGGAGGCGAAACACCAAAACGGTTATACCACGTCGTCAAGAGTATAATCGCTTATCAATACATAGTAACTACGTAAAATTTGTAATTGCTATTGGCTAAATTTCTAATGAATTATATAATCAGTTATAATATCACAAGAGCATAGAAAATATTCGATTATACTTCCGAGTCACGAGACGTATTCTGCGAAACACCACGACAGCGTAGCTGGAGTGGTGTTTTAAGGATATACGTCGAGTGAGGAGGTTAGTATAATCGAATATTTTCGTTTGCTCGAGTGGTATTCGATACGATTATATAATTCAGAGCTTGAACCGAAGCGTTCCATTTTTTTTTTTCGTTTATTGACAAATGTTAAAACTATCGTTACCATGACATAGTTCACATTGTTGGAGGAGGCGAAACACCAAAACGGTTATACCACGTCGTCAAGAGTATAATCGCTTATCAATACATAGTAACTACGTAAAATTTGTAATTGCTATTGGCTAAATTTCTAATGAATTATATAATCAGTTATAATATCACAAGAGCATAGAAAATATTCGATTATACTTCCGAGTCACGAGACGTATTCTGCGAAACACCACGACAGCGTAGCTGGAGTGGTGTTTTAAGGATATACGTCGAGTGAGGAGGTTAGTATAATCGAATATTTTCGTTTGCTCGAGTGGTATTCGATACGATTATATAATTCAGAGCTTGAACCGAAGCGTTCCATTTTTTTTTTACGTTTATTGACAAATGTTAAAACTATCGTTACCATGACATAGTTCACATTGTTGGAGGAGGCGAAACACCAAAACGGTTATACCACGTCGTCAAGAGTATAATCGCTTATCAATACATAGTAACTACGTAAAATTTGTAATTGCTATTGGCTAAATTTCTAATGAATTATATAATCAGTTATAATATCACAAGAGCATAGAAAATATTCGATTATACTTCCGAGTCACGAGACGTATTCTGCGAAACACCACGACAGCGTAGCTGGAGTGGTGTTTTAAGGATATACGTCGAGTGAGGAGGTTAGTATAATCGAATATTTTCGTTTGCTCGAGTGGTATTCGATACGATTATATAATTCAGAGCTTGAACCGAAGCGTTCCATTTTTTTTTGACGTTTATTGACAAATGTTAAAACTATCGTTACCATGACATAGTTCACATTGTTGGAGGAGGCGAAACACCAAAACGGTTATACCACGTCGTCAAGAGTATAATCGCTTATCAATACATAGTAACTACGTAAAATTTGTAATTGCTATTGGCTAAATTTCTAATGAATTATATAATCTTTATTATAAAATATACCATTATATATAGTCGTTGTATCTTTGGAATTTATGTTCTGTTAAATATGACTTTGCTTTTGTGTCGCACTGGTATTTTGGTGTTAGATTTTTGACTGGAAAAAGGTTATTTTTTAAAACAACTCTGAACTGATACTTTAGGGCAAATATGTGCATTGTATAATACACTGTCTTTTTGGAAATTAAAGTATTGGCCTACCTATTGTCCTATCGTTTTGTACGTGCCAAATGGAGCATTCTAAGGAAAGTAAACAGTTTATTTCTATAAGAGCACAATTATGTTCTATAGTAACTACAACCAACTTTTAATTAAAAACTTATATAATTTTCTCTGCAGACATACAGATCATTTAATTTAATTATATATCTGAAATAAAATGTTTGATACAATAGCAATATTAAATTATTACAGCATTACAGTCTACTTACCTTTAGAGTAAAGCTGATTTACCTTTAGTGCATTATTTCATTTAACTGGAAGTTTTAGTAACCGTGGCAACATAGTTTAATCATTACTACAGCAAGAAATTTTAGTTAGAGTTAGTAGCCACTATGACATATTCACTTGTGACTAGTGATTGGCTATCACAAATCTGGTTTTAGCTGTTGCAATTAAATTGTTTATCTACTTTATTTTTGCTAAATGGATCCTGTGACCGGAACACTATTGGAGGAGGCATTCTCGTCGCAGATATTTTGTGTGGAAAAGCGTTGGCTTGTGCCAATGTAAAAGATTGAAACCAGTGGGCGTTTAACCATTATCCTAATTAGTAGGATTTTTCAGGCCTCTTTCATTCCAGCACAACTTAGTGCTAAATTGTGGTTAGGATTTGCTAACGTAAGTTGTTCCTGGCCGCAAATAATATGCCACCCACTCTCCTGTACAAGTCTCCAACTGGACTAGTCCTTGAGATTAGAAAGGGGGGGTAGAGATATTATTAGACTTGTTCTAACTCGCTACTGAAAAATTACATAGGTACCCATTTACTGTTTAGTGCATAAAGTACCTATTATTGTATACTGTTCTACTGATTTTCCTTTATTAAAATGAAAGATAGCCAAATCGATGAATCCTTGTTTTGCCTGAATTTTTATATGTTAATTTTATATTTGACCAAAAAATTTTACGAGATTAAAAATTTTTAGTTTCATTGTTAAATCGTGTAAAGTCATTGATGTTACTGGTTAAATTGTATTAAAATTGTACGTGCACTGTACTAAGCTTGAAGTTCTTTGAGTAATTGAATTATGTTTTATGTTTCATCTTTGAGGGATTGTAGACATCCCAGAAATCAATTTAACAAAAATTGTTCACCTTGATTTCCTTTTTGTTCATTTACCCAAAAGCTTCCCTAAAGTTTGTTATAAGATCGCGTTACAGATTACACCCCGTACATTGTGGACATGTGAACATGATTTGAAGCTAGTTGAACGGATCGACAATCGAAGCAACTTTTGTTACACAGTTGGTTGTCAAATTGTATATTATTAATCAAATTCAACTAATTGCCGCATTTTAGCATATCAATTTGTTTTGTAGATTTTGATTTTACAATGTCTCAAACGAACAGAATAATATGTACTCATTTCCTGATCTACTACAATGAGGAATATAAAAACATGATCTGGAGATATGACGATACTATTAAATGTTGGTATAGGTACGCTAAATTGCTCTAAATCAAAAATGTAAATCTTTTATGAACTTTGAAAAATCATTCCTTTCATTGATTACAAAACTGTTTGCAAAAGAATTATAGTCCAATTCTCTATACAGAAACAACATTCTAGCGTTCCTTGAAATGTCATTAATTTTTTTTGTCTTTGTCGAAAGTAATGTTTTATCTGTTAGAAGCAAGAATAGAAATAGTTTTTCAAAAGGTTTGAATCAGTATGTCAGTTTCTCCTTTAGATATTAATAAAAAATAACTAATATCTTTTTCAATCACTTGTGTAAAATATACAGGGTGTTTCAATTAAAAATTGGGTTCCCTCCGCTTACATACAATAATAAAATCTCTTCTCCACTTTCGGAACATTTCGAAGCATTTCGGGCGTTATCTGACGACATTCTTCAACAATTTGTCGATAATTTTTTGATTTTTCGTTTATCTGTCAATACAAAAACTTCATACTCTATCAATTCAAATTTCCACTTGTTTTACTTTAAACGAGACAATATTGTCTCGTCTTGTCGAGACAATATCCCGTAAAATCATCACAAAGTCCAATTCCAATTCGTGAAAATGGTTTATATAATTGCTGAAAAAGTAAAAATAATTAGTTTGTTCTACAAGAATAATGCCTGTGCACGGCAGGCAGCACTTCGCATCGGTACGTCCTGGATTTATTGTATAAATATTTGGAAACAGGAATCGATGGAATCGATTGCAATGTGCAAATTTTAGTCTTAGGAGACTTGTATGTACTTCAAGAATTTATGTACCTAGTTGTCGCCGAATCTTAAAAATTCATAAGTATCACCCATATAAAATTAATTTGGTACAAGACAATAATGAAGACGATCCTGATCGTCCCCATCATTTGCATTTCTGTGAAGAAATGAGTGATCGTGCTCGAAGGAATCCAAATTTTTTGTTTTTGTACTTAATCTGTTTTTCATATTAATCTACGTTCCAACTAGATGGTCGAGTCAACTGCCAAACCGTCAAACTCATATGCAGCATCCGAGGAAAATGGATGTTTGGGCAGGCATACTAGGAAACCACCTAATAGGGCCTTTACCTTACCGGAAAATCTGGAAGGAAATATGTATCTGAATCTACCCGATGATTGCGGAAGTATTGGAAGATGACAACGCTTTGCCTCCACCACATTATGCCGTAGCTGTGCGTGATTTTCTTAATCAGAACTTTCCAAATCACTGGATAGGACGCAGAGATTCAATTGAGTGGTCTCCCAAATCACCAGATCTAACGCCCTTAGACTCACTTGAGGAGCTTTGTCGTTCTGAAGTGGAGCAAAGATTTTATTGTTGTATGGAAGCGGAAACCAATTTGAACATTTAATAAACTAACATCATCATTGATATTTTATCTTATTCTTTAAGTAATTATTTTATTGTCACATCTAACCCAAAATTTAAAAGCTTGTATTTTGTCGTGAGCAGAATAGAAAAAGCGTTNACATTGTTGGAGGAGGCGAAACACCAAAACGGTCATACCACGTCGTCAAGAGTATAATCGCTTATCAATACATAGTAACTACGTAAAATTTGTAATTGCTATTGGCTAAATTTCTAATGAATTATATAATCTTTATTATAAAATATACCATTATATATAGTCGTTGTATCTTTGGAATTTATGTTCTGTTAAAGATGACTTTGCTTTTGTGTCGCACTGGTATTTTGGTGTTAGATTTTTGACTGGAAAAAGGTTATTTTTTAAAACAACTCTGAACTGATACTTTAGGGCAAATATGTGCATTGTATAATACACTGTCTTTTTGGAAATTAAAGTATTGGCCTACCTATTGTCCTATCGTTTTGTACGTGCCAAATGGGTCAGCATTCTAAGGAAAGTGAACATTTTATTTCTATAAGAGCACAATTATGTTCTATAGTAACTACAACCAACTTTTAATTAAAAACTTATATAATTTTCTCTGCAGACATACAGATCATTTAATTTAATTATATATCTGAAATAAAATGTTTGATACAATAGCAATATTAAATTATTACAGCATTACAGTCTACTTACCTTTAATGTAAAGCTGATTTACCTTTAGTGCATTATTTCATTTAACTGGAAGTTTTAGTAACCGTGGCAACATAGTTTAATCATTACTACAGCAAGAAATTTTAGTTAGAGTTAGTAGCCACAGTTAAATGACATATTCACTTGTGACTAGTGATTGGCTATTACAAATCTGGTTTTAGCTGTTGCAATTAAATTGTTTATCTACTTTATTTTTGCTAAATGGATCCTGTGACCGGAACACTATTGGAGGAGGCATTCTCGTCGCAGATATTTTGTGTGGAAAAGCGTTGGCTTGTTCCAATGTAAAAGATTGAAACCAGTGGGCGTTTAACCATTATCCTAATTAGTAGGATTTTTCAGGCCTCTTTCATTCCAGCACAACTTAGTGCTAAATTGTGAATAGGATTTGCTAACGTAAGTTGTTCCTGGCCGCAAATAATATGCCACCCACTCTCCTGTACAAGTCTCCAACTGGACTGGTCCTTGAGATTAGAATGGGGGGTAGAGATATTATTAGACTTGTTCTAACTCGCTACTGAAAAATTACATAGGTACCCATTTACTGTTTAGTGCATAAAGTACCTATTATTGTATACTGTTCTACTGATTTTCCTTTATTAAAATGAAAGATAGCCAAATCGATGAATCCTTGTTTTGCCTGAATTTTTATATGTTAATTTTATATTTGACCAAAAAATTTTACGAGATTAAAAATTTTTAGTTTCATTGTTAAATCGTGTAAAGTCATTGATGTTACTGGTTAAATTGTATTAAAATTGTACGTGCACTGTACTAAGCTTGAAGTTCTTTGAGTAATTGAATTATGTTTTATGTTTCATCTTTGAGGGATTGTAGACATCCCAGAAATCAATTTAACAAAAATTGTTCACCTTGATTTCCTTTTTGTTCATTTACCCAAAAGCTTCCCTAAAGTTTGTTATAAGATCGCGTTACAGATTACACCCCGTACATTGTGGACATGTGAACATGATTTGAAGCTAGTTGAACGGATCGACAATCGAAGCAACTTTTGTTACACAGTTGGTTGTCAAATTGTATATTATTAATCAAATTCAACTAATTGCCGCATTTTAGCATATCAATTTGTTTTGTAGATTTTGATTTTACAATGTCTCAAACGAACAGAATAATATGTACTCATTTCCTGATCTACTACAATGAGGAATATAAAAACATGATCTGGAGATATGACGATACTATTAAATGTTGGTATAGGTACGCTAAATTGCTCTAAATCAAAAATGTAAATCTTTTATGAACTTTGAAAAATCATTCCTTTCATTGATTACAAAACTGTTTGCAAAAGAATTATAGTCCAATTCTCTATACAGAAACAACATTCTAGCGTTCCTTGAAATGTCATTAATTTTTTTTGTCTTTGTCGAAAGTAATGTTTTATCTGTTAGAAGCAAGAATAGAAATAGTTTTTCAAAAGGTTTGAATCAGTATGTCAGTTTCTCCTTTAGATATTAATAAAAAATAACTAATATCTTTTTCAATCACTTGTGTAAAATATACAGGGTGTTTCAATTAAAAATTGGGTTCCCTCCGCTTACATACAATAATAAAATCTCTTCTCCACTTTCGGAACATTTCGAAGCATTTCGGGCGTTATCTGACGACATTCTTCAACAATTTGTCGATAATTTTTTGATTTTTCGTTTATCTGTCAATACAAAAACTTCATACTTTATCAATTCAAATTTTCACTTGTTTTACTTTAAACGAGACAATATTGTCTCGTCTTGTCGAGACAATATCCCGTAAAATCATCACAAAGTCCAATTCCAATTCGTGAAAATGGTTTATATAATTGCTGAAAAAGTAAAAATAATTAGTTTGTTCTACAAGAATAATGCCTGTGCACGGCAGGCAGCACTTCGCATCGGTACGTCCTGGATTTATTGTATAAATTTTTGGAAACAGAAATCGATGGAATCGATTGCAATGTGCAAATTTTAGTCTTAGGAGACTTGCAAGTACTTCAAGAATTTATGTACCTAGTTGTCGACGAATCTTAAAAATTCATAAGTATCACCCATATAAAATTAATTTGGTACAAGACAATAATGAAGACGATCCTGATCGTCCCCGTCATTTGCATTTCTGTGAAGAAATGAGTGATCGTGCTCGAAGGAATCCAAATTTTTTGTTTTTGTACTTAATCTGTTTTTCATATTAATCTACGTTCCAACTGGATGGTCGAGTCAACTGCCAAACCGTCAAACTCATATGCAGCATCCGAGGAAAATGGATGTTTGGGCAGGCATACTAGGAAACCACCTAATAGGGCCTTTACCTTACCGGAAAATCTGGAAGGAAATATGTATCTGAATCTTCCCGATGATTGCAGAAGAATTGGAAGATGACAACGCTTTGCCTCCACCACATTATGCCGTAGCTGTGCGTGATTTTCTTAATCAGAACTTTCCAAATCACTGGATAGGACGCAGAGATTCAATTGAGTGGTCTCCCAAATCACCAGATCTAACGCCCTTAGACTCACTTGAGGAGCTTTGTCGTTCTGAAGTGGAGCAAAGATTTTATTGTTGTATGGAAGCGGAAACCAATTTGAACATTTAATAAACTAACATCATCATTGATATTTTATCTTATTCTTTAAGTAATTATTTTATTGTCACATCTAACCCAAAATTTAAAAGCTTGTATTTTGTCGTGAGCAGAATAGAAAAAGCGTTAAAATGAGGTGTCACTCAATATAGGGTGCCATTTAAAGTTTTAGGGTATTTTACGCCAGTTTTAATTGATCACCCTGTATAAGAACCTGGGTTTACAGTTCTAGCTCATCTAACAATTATTAAATTAAATTTTCAGGATCCTTCGAAAAAATTTTTTTGTTTATGAATTAATTAATGATAGGTAATAATGATTGTCTTAAAGTGATAACTAGAGACAAACCAATTAATAATCAAATTAATATAATTCTTACTTTATATCTCTGATATGATGACATTTTATGCAAATGAGATTTTTCACAAAATCCTTTCATATTATTTATTCAACCAGCTAACTTCAGTTAAAAGCTCTAACAGAAAGAAAATATATCCTCATGGGACAATGGCACAGAGGAATTCGAAATCTTAAGTGAATGAATAAGATTTGTACTACTTAAATAAGAAAAATTGTATCTTCAGTAATGAAATATTTAAGTACTGCAAATTTAATAAAAAAAAGTTCTCCAGGCCAAATATTTTTCATGTCACTAATCTGCAATTTAAATTAAAAAAGGCCAAAAACAGCTTTTAGTCCGTGAAATATGTGTAGAGCTCGGAAATATTAGGATGGCTACAGATTTGGCTGTAGGCCGGCTTATAATTTTGCTAATCTAATTTTAAATTGAAAGTCGAAATGTAATGTTTGTATTTTATAGTTGTCTGTACTTTATGTACTTTATGAGTGTTTTTATAATATGATGTGCTTCTCTTTGAATTGTATTTTAATTGTATGCTTTGGCCATGTTTTTCTTTGACGTGTGTAAACATTTTTCTTATGTAATAACACCAATAAATGCTTACTTACTTACTTACTTACTTACTTTCTTTTACGTAATAATTTCAAACAAAAAGTAATACAACCGTTGCCTCCACATGGAACTTACCATAATATATATAGGTATAGTATGTAATAATAGGTACCAGCAAAAGGTAGCAAAATAATAATTTTTTAAATATAAGGAAAGCGATTGTAGAAAATAATTAACAATTATCCTGGGTGTTAATTGGTTAATTGTCTCAGGCGTTCGGTAAATACTCATTTCAAAAACGAAGATGACCGATCAATTTAACGAGGTAACAGGCGCATGTCTAAAATAGTCGATGTTTTTAATATACTCTAGATGGCGAAGGATTAACTGCTTCACATTTTAGTAATTCCACTATCCGCGTCATAATACAATATTATGTACATGACTGCCTCCGACTTGAAGCTTCTCATCGATCAAATTATTCGATACGTATCTAATGCCTGCCCTGTCGACCTGGCGGTGAACAATCCAGATTTTTTGCTAAGAGATGTCGGCCGTTCATTTCATTATCTTTTGTGCGTGCATGTGTGAGTGAATTTGACGTTTTGTTTGGTTGAGTGAATGGCATATTTTTTGGCAGTCAGTAGCATTGTGTATCACGAGCATAGAGTAGTACACGGTTGGACCGTAGATTCAGCCTATCTCTGCTACTACAACGTGTATGGCCACTTACTACCATAATATAGATTCTCTTTATTTATTTGATAGAAAACATCAATACATGTTTGGAAAATAAAGAAATCCCGTAAGACATTTTTTGTGACCTGGCTAAGGCCTTTGATTTTATTGATCACCTAATATTACTTGACAAGCTGGAGTATTATAGCATAATTGACAAGGAAAACAATTGGTTTAAAACATATTTATTTGAAAGACATATGTATACTGAAATAGTCGAAATAAAAAATTGTGTATAAAAAAAATCATTCTGACTTTGCCAGAGTTGAAAGCGGAGTTCCACAAAGTTCTATTTTGGGACCACTGTTATTTTTGTTGTATATTAATGATATCGTCCCAAATTTTACAGAGGTCAAATTTTCATTATTTGTTGACGACACCAGTATTTTAACAAAAACGATTTAATAACCAAAGCTCAAAATATTTTAGAACACGTTTCTGAATGGTTCCCTGCAAATAAGCTGATGCTAAATTGCAATAAAACTAACAGTATAACATTCCAATCACGTGGAATTACAGATACCTCTTTAAAATTAAATAGTGATCAAATATGCTCAGTATAATCCACAAAATTTCTTGGTATTTATGTCGACTCTCAATTGAATTAGATGGAGCCCATAACCAATTTAAAGACAACGTTAGGGAAAGCCATATATGCAATATTAACTGCTAAACGAAATATAGATTTTTCCACAGCAAAGTTTGTTTATTACGCATATTTCCAGAGTGTATTGCAATATGGAATTGAGCTTTGGGGAGGATCTACTAGTTCTGAAGATGTATTCCTGGTACAAAAAAAGGCAATAAGAATTATATGTGATTTACCTCATAGAGAATCTTGCAGAAGTTATTTAAAAAAAAATGGAATATTTACCCTTACTAATCTATATGTTTACAGATTATCTATTTTAATTCATAAAATTAAACATTTGATAAAAACAGCAAGTGATTATCATAGCTATCCTACACGTCATCAAAATCTTACTTTACCACAATATAATTATAATAGAACTCGCAATGGTGCTTTGTATTCGGGGATAAAGGTTTATAATAAATTATCATCTCATTTAAAGACATTGAACAATAAAGTTTTCAAACGAAAACTAAAAATCCTTTTACGAGGTTTATTCTTTAAATGAATATTTTATCAGTGCACTCTAAGGCAATAAGAGTGTAGGTATCACGTCTTTTACCAAAATTAAGTTTTAACTTGTACATGGTAAATACATAAATATGTGTCTGTTTATTTACTATCAATTTTTATTACCTTTGTATTTTTAATGTTTAGCTGTAAGATTGTCGTCTATAAGTATTTTTTTCTCTTCTTTTTTTAAATTTTACATTCTTTCAATTTTTGGAAAAAAACTCAGATATGAATATGATATGACTTACTTAATATTTATCGTCAACACAATACTTTCCTTACACCTTTAATTAGGTTTTTTGTTATTCTTCTCTAAACTCAAAATTTGTTTCTATTTATATAACTTCATATTGTAATAACTTGAGGAAATAAATGTTCACTTACTTACTCACTTACTTACTTACTTGCTTGCTTACTTGCTTGCTTGCTTGCTTGCTTGCTTGCTTGCTTGCTTGCTTGCTTGCTTGCTTGCTTGCTTACTTACTTACTTACTTACTTACTTACTTACTTACTTACTTACTTACTTACTTACTTACTTACTTACTTACTTACTTACTATAGTCGCTACAAAATTTCCGATGGATATTTATAATCAAGGAATTAATATCAACATGAGATAAAAAGGAAGAAGCTATAATGTACATCATAGGCTCAAGCCGCCCCTGACCCTGTAGACAAGTTGTTTACGAAAAGACGAGGGAGCTCTATAAACTTGAAATTGATAAATTCATTCACGTTATGACTTATGAGAAATATTTTAATTGCTTAAATATTTATATTTAAAAGTAGAAGAGATACTAAATAGATACTAAAACATTAAAGCTGTATGATAAAAAGATATTGCATTTTTTTATGATAAACACGTCTTTTTATGTCTAACTGTATGTAGCTGCCAGTAACGTATTTCATTTACATTCAGGGGAGCACTAAAAGACGTAATGAAAATGTGAATCGAAATTGAATTTATTCGAACATGTCGGCTTATGTTTATTAATGTAAGGTATATGTTCCTTTAATGTTCACCCGAATGAATTTCTTCTTTTTTTCCTTTCAGTGTCGACCGAAGCACGTCATCCTGTGATAGTCTATATTCATGGGGAGTCCTTTGAATGGAATTCAGGGAATCCTTATGATGGGAGCGTTCTAGCTTCCTACGCCGACTTAGTTGTAGTCACACTTAACTATAGATTAGGAATCTTAGGTAAGTAATTAATAGCTTGATTAGATTAAATTAAGAGTACTTAAACCTAAAACCGTACCTATTTGATCGAAAGCCACATATTTAAATCATAATTTCTAAAGGTAACATTTTTCGAAAAATTGAATTGTTTCTAAGTAAATCATTTACTGTCCACTAAATTGTACAATCAGAGAAGTTACGAGATTTTTTAAATATTTGTTATTGATAATAGTTTTTGATTGAGAAATAATGGAAAATGCAACCTCATAGTTTTTTTTATCTGTCAATTTAAGAGAAGTTAGGTAGAAGTTGATTAATTTTTAGTTTTATATCGAGATATCATATTACATTAAGGCGAGTATCCACTTGTGGCAATGCTCCGTAACGTAACAACGAACATGTTACGGTCTGTTGCAAAAGGTGACACGGTTCGCTGAAAAAGTATGTGTGGTTTTGGTCGTATCATTCATTCCGTAACGTAACAAAATAAGGTTACGAGACGACACAGGAACATAAACTCGCAGTATGAACCTAACTGCAATAATGGATTCGTCACTGCATTGCAGTTAACAGCAGCGGTATATATTTTTATTCATCATACAATTTTGAAGAATAAGAAACGGAAATCTCCGGAAATCGTTTCTTTATTCCACTTCATGGCACAAACACAGACAAACACACTCTTCCTAGTCACTGCAGAAAACAGACTGACCCCAGACCATATACAAAAGACTAACGAAACAAAAAATAAGACAAAATCGCATGTGCAACAGGCAACGTTACGGCCAAAAGAGTAACCCCGTCTCAACATGTGGCAGAAAGTACTGTTGCATCCCTTTGATGCGACGACTAAAAACCGACAACTGATGGTTCGTCCCGGATTAGTTACGCGTGTCAAATTTGCTACACGTACCATGCAACAATTTTCCGTCTCCACTAGCTGTAATGTAACATGTTCGGTGTTACGTTACGGGGCATTTGACACAAATGGATACCCGCCCTTAGTTTTAGTTAAATACGCTTAATTAAGGCAAAGAAATGATACTAAACAAACAACTGTCACTACATCATAGGGGTGTCCGGAAAGGTCATGTCAAAAATGAAGGGATATACAGGGGAGATCAAAACAGATGTAGTACTTCATATTTTTTTTTCCTATCGGGCTTCGTTAAAAATGAATCGAAATTGAATTTAAAATGTGTACATAACTTTTAGCAGTGGTTTTAATAGAAAATTTATTTAAAATTCATGTATTTACGCATAACAGAATTTGCCTACTCTGAACCTGAGACCAACTACTATACAATGCTGCCAGTGTTACACAAAACTCTTAACTCAAGAAAAGAATTAAATAATGTATTTTTTTACTATAATCAAAATAAAAATATTGAAATACGTACATAAATATGTTTACTTACGTCTTTGCCATTCCCACCAGAATATATTTTTTCATTGTACAGTTTACGAGAGAGCGTTGTGGTATGTGGTAAATAAGTCACTTATTAAACTAATTATGTAATAATGAGGATTGTTTTATTTTATTTAAAGCGCATTTGTACAAAATGTAAATATGTATTTTTCACATCAAATTTAATTTTATTTGTTTATCGTAAACTATTTAAGTTTTATTGTGTTTACCATGTAAACTACTGAAACTACTGAAACTACTGTTTACTTTTGTGTCTTCAGTTCCGAGTTTTCTGTTCTAAATTAACTATTTGTAGTGCACTTATGGGTTTGAATTGTGTACATGTTGATGGGAAGTTTGTGATAAATTTAATTAGATAGGATATTTTACTTAAATATACTTTTCCGTAGGTACCTTATTTTTTATAGTCAGGTAAATTTTATATTTCTTAGGTCAATTTTTTGAATAATAATAGGTTTGGTTTTTAAATAGTATAATTTTAAACTTTATCTAGTATCTTGCCGAAATTAATTTTTTATTCTCATTTACCAACTGTTAAAATATATGTACATATTAAAGATTCACCTTGTATAAAGAGTGGCCGTTTTACAAGGGGTCTCGGAAACCTCAAGCGATCGGTCAAACTAAGGCAAAGTTGTAGAATTTTTTGACGAATAACGTGCCGAAGAGAATCTGAAAATTTTGATATTTAGTATTTTAATCTAAAACAGCAAGAGGCAAGGATTTTAGACTCACAAATGGTTAGGAATTCAAATACAGGTATTACTTGCCACTTGTGTTTTTCTTATATGCACCATAAAAGCAACGTATCTTATTTTTTATTTGAAATCTAGCAATTTTAAGAAAAATTAACAAGAGATATGTTTTGTGTGGAATCGTAAATTAATTACTTTTATTTCTGACCGGGATATTATAAGCTTATATCGTCATAGTTACGCTATCAATAAAGAGAGTCATAACTCCCTTGGGACATTATAGATTCTATAATTCCCTCTACCTTTCACAAGTAAAAATAAAATAAAAAATGCTAATATACATATATGTGTATATATTTATGAAATGAAAACTGAACCATATTTTATTTATTTGCGTCATTACAAATAATAAATGTACAATTTTGAAATGTTCCCTGAAAATTACTACCGCCACTGGAAACAATTTCTTCTTTTGTATGACTGGAGCTTCTGTTCACTACAGTCGAGGTACCTGCCTCTTCTAATGGCAAAGTAGACAACATACGCGCCGTTTTATTTCTCAATTCGATGCTATCCTCCAGATACCCCTCCGCCACCGTGGAACTTTTCCAACCTCCGTGTCTTTTTAAGTTAGTCATAGTTGCTCCTGCATTAGCTAGAGCAGTAGCAGAAGTGCGACGAAGGCAATGTCCCGTATAGGAAGATGGGTTTGGCAATCCTAAATACATTGCGATTTTGCTGGGAATTTTCCCAAACATGTTTTTTCCAATTGGCTGAGATGTACATTTATTTTGTCGGAAGCGCAAAAAAAATCGTTCAATACCTTTAGGACGCAAAGACATATAAAGTCTTAATAAAGGCAAAGCAGAGAACTCTTTTTCATCCACAATTGTAAATTTCTTCGATACACCAGTTTTACTTTCCGGTACGTTCACTACCATAACGGAATCCCGGTCCTCTATATCCGATATCTTCATATTCAAAAGTTCCTGACTTCTGCATCCTCCAAAATAACCCATAATCAAAACAACCTAAAACAAAAAAAGGAAATAAATACACACAAAAAGGAAAATAAGAAAAAAATTACCTTATGCAATAAATGAATTTCATTAGGAGCGTTCTTTAGAAATCTGATAACATCATTAGGAGATAAAACAGCAGACTTTTTCGGCTTATAACTCTTACTCTTCCGTTTCAAAAAAGCCTCTAGTTCATTGAACTTGGCGATATCTCGTTTCTCATGTATATTCACCTTCGATTTTAGCATTGACCATTTAGTCCATAAAGAATTCGGACTATACGTTTCTGACTGCAACGAATAAACAAAATTACTACCAAATCTACCGAAAAACATAGAATATTCCTTACCAATTCTTGAAAATATGCCAGTAATACAGTTTCAGTGGCATCTTTTGGCATAACATTATTCCGTGTCAGCCACTCCAGATATATCTTGTATTCTTTTTGGTATACGGCTTCACTTTTCGATGGAATTAATGATTCTCTTGCTTTTTCAGCTTTTTTCAAAATCTGCTCCATTATATTTGGGGTAGAAAACACGTTTTTAACGCAAACACAGCTTGATAACAAAGTACTGTTTATAAGCAAGTAACAATTCTGTTTATAAACACGTAACATAGCAACAACCTAGCAACAACAAAACTCTTATAATCAATGGTACCTGATTCAAATATACTGGGAAGGTAATAAATTGGTACATTTTTTCCGTTTTAAAAATAAACAATATTTTATTGAAATCGGTCAGAAATAAAATTATCTATGTACCACGGGAATTAATGAGCCTTAATAACCTCAGGCAATTGCTGTCCCTCGGGCCGGACGCCCTCGGGACGCAAACTTTGCCATCGGTAATTAAGGCCCTTATAATTCCCTAGATACATAAATAACCATTATTTAACGTGTTTCTAACACGTAGATATTTCGATATATCAGATAGCATCATACTTACAAACTAATTTTGCATTTATTTGGATGATTTCATCTACCTTTTGCTTGATTTTTCTCTGCAGATGCTACGAGCTCTCTCGTATCCAAAAACTGATATTGTTGTCTTGTATTCCTCTTTATACATTTGAAATGATTTAGAATTTCGCACTTTAAGACTTTCTTACTCTGGCACCGCACATAACTGCATTTATATAATTCGGTACTTCTTTGAGAAATTAGTTTTACTGATCTGATAAATCTTCCTTTGAAAAAGCTGACAACACAGTCAGAAACGCCACTGAAAAATTTGACGACCGGAAGTAAATGTTTAACGGACAAAGTCCATGAAAACCTACCTCTACTAAACGTTTAGATATATAAATTTTTATTACAAAAATAATAGACACAAACTATTTTTTTTTCAGGTTTTTTAAATGCAAACCCAGCCCCTCACTTGAAGGCTCGCGTGGCCAATTATGGCCTAATGGACCAAATAGCAGCACTTCACTGGATACAGCAAAACATAGCATTATTTGGAGGGGACCCAGAGAATGTAACTCTAGCAGGTCATGGATCCGGAGCGGCTTGCATTAATTTCCTAATGATTTCACCCACGGTAATGCCAGGACTCTTCCACAGAACCATCCTTTTATCTGGATCTGCACTGTCTTCTTGGGCTTTGGTGGAAGATCCCGTGAACTACGCCGTGAAGTTAGCTAAGGAAGTTAACTGTTCGATACCAGACGACGTCGGTAAAGACCACGAGGCGATAGTCGACTGTCTGAGAGAGACGTCATTGGGAGAATTACTCCAAGCCGATGTGACGCCTCCAGCTTACCTCAGCGCCTTCGGACCTAGTGTTGATGGAGTTGTCATCAAGGCTGACTTCGCTAAGGAACTGGTTACCTACTTCAAGCCTCAGGACCTGCAGAACTTCGTAGGGCCAGTAAATGCCAACATGAAAAGGAGCGAGGCTAGTTTAACGCCTAGAGGAAGCAACCCCTACGATCTCCTCTTTGGTGTAGTGACTAGTGAGGCGCTTTGGAGGTTTTCCTCTAACGACATAACTGCGGGTTTCGAGGGGGAGCGAAGAGACAAAATTATTAGGACTTACGTGAGGAATGCGTATACGTATCATTTGAGTGAGATCTTCTTTACGGTCGTTAACGAGTACACGGACTGGGAGAGGACAGTGCAGCATCCCATTAATACTAGAGACGCAGCTGTAGCTGCTTTGAGTGACGCGCAGTTCGTAGCGCCTTTAGTGCAAACGGGAGACATGTTGAGTGCGAAACCTCCACAACCTGGCCAGGAACCCAGCGGGCCAAAGACTTTCTTTTACGTGTTCGATTATCAGACGAAAGATGGGGATTATCCACAGGTAAATTTTTTATTATTATCTAATGATCTAATCAGACACAGCTATCTAATAATAAAAATGAAAAAAATATGTAATTAAACACTTGAATTTAGTAGCACCAAGTGTGCTGAGTGACTCATTTTGGGTGGAATTGCCAAGTACCAGCTAAATAGTTACAGAAAAAGCTAATAAATGGATCCATTTTCTTACTATCAGGTTAAACCTTTGGATGTTCGAACAATTATATCTAGAAGGCCTTGGTAATTCTGTTGCATGTCAAATATCTTACCTATACAGGGTGTCTTTAATCTATATTCATAAAGGACTTATTCTACACATTAAAGCATGATAAAAAAAAGATTAATATGTAACTGGGTCTTAAAATAAGTCATAAGGCTATGACCACTGACGGTGTTTGTTTTATATCTCTAGGATCGCTATAGATATGAATATCGATTTTATTTCTTTCATTTTTAATATACATCTGAGCTTGCCAAATCGATTACCTATTACATACGCTCCCCAGACTAGACTGTAGTCGGACATGTACGCATTGTCGTAACTTTTCCGCAGTGTTAATTAGTTTAATTTATAACTTCTTTGATTATTTCCGTTGATAAAAAAGTACTACATTCTTTTAAATTTTATTTCATTATCAACCACTATTTATCATAAGCTAGATTTATGTGATTTGGTTAAGAATCACCTCACTTCGCATCAATCGCACTTTGGAAAACAGTTTTGGGAAACTGTTACTTTCATGAATTTTTGTAGGAATACCTATTATATGTAAAAGTTACGCTGAATTCATATAATTTCAACATACCGGCATGTTAAAAAATCGGAGTAAATAGTCTGTCCTTCTGTTTCAAATCCAAATGCAAAAAGCGACGATTATTCAGCCAACCAACTTCAGATAATTTATAAGAAATGTGCTGACGTCTTTTGATTCCAAAAATTAATCTCAAGCAAGAGTTCTGCACTAACTGAATTCGCCTGGAGTCAATAGCATCAATACATGGATCATAAACTGAATCCCCAAAATTAAATTGAAATAAAACCAACGACTCACATAAAACTAATTTAACTTACTTAGATAAAAACTGTCTACTATTATCAATTAATTTAAGATTACAATAAGCCTTGCGAATGCAGCTGCTAATATGGGATTTAAACCTTAGATTCGAGTCAAGTATAAGACCTAAATTTTTAGCCTCCTCAGTGGAAAAGATTTGTTGACCATCAAGAATTAACGAAAAGTTAGATATATTTTTTCTATATTTCGGAGGGCCAACTAACATAATTTTAGTTTTAGCAGCATTAATTAGAATGGTTTTTTAGTAACTTCAATAAAATTTAAAATATTGGTATTAATTGTCTTAATGGCATCATGTAAATTATAAGTTGGAAAAGTATGATACAACTGAGTGTCATTAGCGTAAAAATTAATGTTTGTCTTTTTTATTTTATTAACAAAATAAGAGGTGTATAAAATGTAAAGGAGAGGGCCTAAAATCGATCCCTGGGGAACACCTGAAGAAATCTCAAGAAAAAACATATTCATTATCATTCATTCTAACACTTTATTTTCTATTATTTAAATAATTACAACAAAATTCAATAGCATTGTCACTTAAACCAACGAAATGTAAAATTGCTAGGTAAAATCTGATAATTGATAGTATCAAATCGATTAAAACTAGTGCAGTCATAACTCTATTCTCCACATTTCTCATAATGTCATCTGTAATATGCAATAAAGCTGTTTCACAACTATGTTTCGGATGGAAACCTAATTGGACAATGGGTAAAATCTTATGATAAGTTAAAAAACTACGTAACAGTCTATCTACTATACGTTCCAAAATTTTTGAAAGTGATGGTAAAATGTTAATAGGCCTTAAGTCCTTAAAGTCTTTTGGACAACTACATTGGCTGAACAATGGCAAATTTCCAAGAATCAGGAAAAGTACTGTTTTGTAAACAATAATTCACAATGTGTGTAACGAATAGTAGCAGAAATGGGCAACACAATAGCAACATTTTTATATTAAGACCCTCAAAGCCTGTTGCATTTGATTTAATATTATACATAATTGTTTGAACTTCAATTTCACAAACAGCAGTAAAATCAAACTTATCAGTATCATGTCTAACATTATTATTAATATTATAATAGTTTAAAATTTCTTAATTCGCTCTAAACTTTAGAATGCAATTCATATAATAATCATTTAGTGCACCAACATCACACAATAAATCGAAGATAGTTGTACGTTTTTTGCCTATATTCAGGTATTCAAGATCTCTCCAAACTCCATTCACCCCATTTAATTGAAATCTATAGTAAGCTTTCTTTTCATTTCTATGTACATGCCAAAATTGTATAATTTCGGATTTGTTTATAATAATTGTAATGCTCTATTCTTTTAGTGCGCTGCCATTTAGCCCTAGCCTTATTTCTTAAGGAAATGAAAAGATGTACATTATCAGTTACCCACGGCGAGTTTTTGGTCATTTTTTTAGTTTTTATAGAAGTGACGAATGCAATTTTTGAATAAATAGTAAAAGTATGCAGAGACAATTACTGATACAATGACAAATATTGGTGCACTTATCCTACCTGGTATCAACTAGAATATATTTCTTAATGTACATGCAATTATTAATTATGAAATTTAATAAATTGCCTAATACTACAGAAGTAAATATATTGCAATGTAATAAATTTGGTTATTAGGTTGTAAATATGAAATTAAATTTTAGATACGGATATAAATATACATCATGCATTAATGCACCACCAGTTTTGTTATTTATGACTAATTTAACACGTTCATCACACGACCTCTATGACAGAGTATGACATATGCTTAACCTCAAATATAGGCATTCAATTTATATTAATTTTACATCGTTGTTAATATGGATTATAAATTTAGCTAACCTTAGAACAATAGTAGGTATATGAATTAAAAAACTGATATGTTTTAGCATTTCACATTTATTAAACTGTTCCACATAGATCCATATAATTTTTCACATCCCACAGCTAACGACTTAGACTGGTACTTAAGAGACTTCTAGGTCTTTTCAAATAACCAACAAGTAGAACTCAAGTTTGGATCAAAGTACACTAACTAACTAACCAAACAATTTCAATAATAATGATTTTCCATGAAATCTTTAAAGCTATCCTAGAAAAAATTATTCAAAAGTATTTTTAGTGTCAAAATAAATTAATATAATTAAACAATTGAATAGTTGAAGAGAAAAATTAGTATTTTTTTCGTCCAATCCTTGTTGAAGCTGCTCATAAGACAAACAGAGGTTAGTATAATTTCCCAAGGAAATAAATTTTGAAAATTACTAGACAATTGATATATCCTTCCATATGGTCAAAATATCCATATGTGGTGGAAATATTCATCCATATGGGCAAAATATCCGTCCATATATGATCGTTCTTGTTGGTAGGCTATTTGGAAGATTTTTGCCTTTTGTACAATTTTCAATAAATAAGCGGTTCAGATAGACAAATACAACTAGCAATTTAGTAAGTATTGTAAGAGTGGCAAGATATTTAAAAATTGTTTTTGATTTCAGCCTGATCACATTTTTTAATAAGTAACACATGCAATGACACTAGACAGTTTGGTTTTGTTATGGTCGCGAAAGTATCCCAAACTCCTTCGCCACAATAGTAGTAGTGGTGATAGCAGAGAAAAGACGATATAGAACATCCGTAAAACAAGAACTGTAGAGATACATTTTACTCTATAAACAATTATTGCCCAGGGAATTTTCTATGCAATCGACAAAATCTTGAACACATAAAAACTACTGTGTAGATTCTGAGATATAGAAGCGTAAAGTTAATAATAATGTATAGCTTAGGTAACCGTGAAGTCGAGAAAAAAAATGTTTTTATAGCTAATTACAAGTACTTTCAATATCCTTTTAGTGCATTTTCGGCAGATAAAAGCTTAATTAAAGAAAGATCAAGAAAGGTACCGTGGTGACTGGAATTTCTCGGTAGAGCGGGAGCGGGGATGACTGAGAGCAGCTGCGCTGCCCTGCGCCGCATAGGTTTCAAAATGCGTATACGCGATAAAAGATGACTTTTCTCGGGAATGGTAGCACTTATCAAGACGATTTTTTTTTAATTTGGTATAGCAAAATGAGAAAAATACGAATATATCATCAAGAATCAATAAAATAAATAATTTTTGTACGAATTTTTACATAATCTATTATACATAACATTTGGGATTTTTCTGTACAACAAAATACACTATACTTCAAATACAAACGCCTCGAATGCTCTACCGCCTGGACTATTATCACCTCATATCAAAGCAAGATTCAGATATGCGTTTTGCTTTCTGAGAATTTATACGAAATAAACAAATCAACATTTACTGATGCAACTAATTTTACAAGATCTGGCATAACTAATCTCCACAGTGAGCATGTCTACGCTGATAAAATTCTCATGCAGTGTCTTGTCAACATGATTTCAAAATTAATATTTGGTCTGGAGTCAACTCTCTTATTTCTTTTAATAAAATCTTGGCACATTTATTAGATCTACCGCTATTTCGTCACGAAATATGATTCGTGCATGACAGTGCACTGTCTCATTGTACGTTGCTTATTCGACATTAACATGTACAAGGTTGTTGATTTTCGATAGTTTTGTAGGGTAAAATCGTCCATTTAGATTAACCTATTTTCTATTTTTTATGAGGAAGCCATTGGCGTACTTATATTTTTTACAAATCGCACATTTTTTCCGATATTACATAACCATAGGTTTTTTAAATAGAACCTTTCAAAATCTGTACAACCAAGTAATAGTCGTTCAACAAGCTTTCAATCAGTCAAAAATAAGTTAACTGTCAATATTAAACAACAAAAGACGAATACTAAATAAATCACATGGCCAACTGAAAAAAATACCTATATATGTATTACATATTTCTTCATTTAGGCAAATAAAATGTATCTATTTATTATAT